GCCTGCCTGCCTGCCTGCCTGCCTGCCTGCTGCAGCTGCCTCGATTTTGCCTTTTTTTCCCCTTCGTGAATTTGTTTGCCAGTCTGCACAGCCCGCATGAGCACCTGCCGCTGAGCAGCCGTCTCTCTCAGCGCCCGCAACTGTCCTCACAACCAACTCTTCATGACCCTGCGATTGTGTCTGACTCCCAGACGGGTCCGTTTGACTTGCTGAGATCAACTGTACAACGCTTCTTTCTTGAAAATGCACACTGAGGCAGTCGCATCGCGTCTGATGCCATTGTCTGCACCTGGAGTGGCGGCCACGCTAGCACAGTCAACACGGTGTCCTTCGGCGAATTGGGTGCGGCGACCAAAAAAATCCTCAGACTGCGACCGAACGTTGCCAGGATGTAACATTTTGACCGATTTTTCCGGCGCTTGGCAAAGATGTTGCTGCGCGACCCTTTCCGCAGGGTCTCTGAAACCAAACTGCAGGGTCCCCGGCTGGGCTTTGTGCGAAGCAACGGTGCCACTCTGGCATGCGTCAAACCCTCGAGCACCATTTTCTTGAGCCGCCTTGTACAAGATGCTGCGCATCGATCTGATCCCTTGACGTCCCAGCCATGCTAGCCATTGCCGACGGGGAAAGGCGGAGAGCAAAAAGTTTCTTCACAGTAATGCAGCCTCTCAAGCGAGGCCTCTCGCTCTGCGCCCCCGGGTTCATGGCGAAATTTGACGCATTTCTCGCCTCGCCGCCCTTGGCCGACGGCACGGCGTCCCTGCGGCTGCCACTGCCGCCACTTTCAAGGAGCGCGCGGCGTATGCTCGCCACACCCAACCAGCCCGCCTCGTGGGGCTGCCCATGCGCCTCCATGCCGTGCCTGAACATCCTCTCACACAGTCGAGCAGTGGATTAGCGAAATGCCCCTGCAAGCCAGCTGCACTTGCGGTCCGTGGCGATCCCACCCTGCAGCACTCCCGTTCCGTTCATCTTCCACCCGTGCGGCGCCTTTTTTCTTCTCGCCACCAACTCCTTTCATCTTTTCTACTGCTCCTGACCATGTCGAGTACACCGACAGCACAGGGTGAAGCGCCCACTGCCCCCTCAGCCACAGCCGACGATGATCGAATCTCGCTGCCTCGCCTCTCGGATGGCGCCTCGAGCCAACGGAGCGGCAGCACAGGAAGCAAGCAATATGCGGAAGCGCTACTCGCCAACGGACAAGAAGCTGACGCCTCCGAATCACGTTTCGTCACCAGCCGCACCGAGCTGTGGGCCTTCTACATCTACTACATCGGCAACTCGGGCCTCGCACCCTTTAATTTCGCGCCCTCGCAGTTTCAGAACCTGCTGTATCTGCAGGCCACCAACCTCGGCGCCGGCATGTGTGGCAACGACGGTCAGCCCGACTGCCGTCTCCGATTTGCCGGCAAAGAGCGCACGGTGGAGAGCATCGTGCTTCTGTGCAACGGCCTCTCTTTCGCCATCCAGGCCGTGCTTTTCCTGGTCATCGGAAGCTTTGCCGATTATGGACGGAACCGACCTTACATCCTCGTTGCAAGCACCGTCGTCGCTATCGCCGTCAGCTTCGCTTGGCTCGGAGTCACGGATCCGGAACAGTGGCAGACGGCTATTGGACTGTATATGGTCGGAATCATCACTTACCAGCTCTGCCTGAGCTACTGGACCGCCGCATTCCCAGGTCTTGCGAGGGATCTGCCGCACATGCGCGACGCAAGAGCACGGCTCCTCAACGACTCGAACGCTGCTTCTCCAAAGGCGGATGCCGATTCGGCCGATGACAAGGGCGAAACTCCGGCAGCAGAACACGCGGCAGAGACCGAAGCAAAGGCAGGTGCCCACTCGAACGACGGCCGCATGACAGCAGACAAGTACAGCCTGCTCGAGACCATGGCGATCAACCGCATCTCAAACATCGCGTTTGCCGTGTGCTCTGTGGGCGAACTCGTGGTGCTCGCCGTGATCCAGGGCATGCTCTACGGCATTCACGCCGACCGAGACACCATCTCCAACACCAAGGCGCTTTCCGCCGTCGTCGCTTTCGGCGCCGGTGTATGGGTGCTCTGCGCCATCCCCTGGTTCGTGCTCGAAAAGCGAAGGCCCGGACAACCCCTCCCGCCCGGCACCAACTATGTCACCGCCGCAGCCAAGCAGGCGTATCTCGCGGCGAAGCATCTGCGCCACCTCCGCCAGACACTCATCTACCTCGTCTTTTACTTTCTCTTCTCCGACGCCCTCAACACCTCGGTCACCGTCATCTCGACCATTCAGAACCAGGTGGTCAGCTTCAGCACCACCAAGCTCAACCTGCTCCTCATCGTCGGCATTGCAGCGCAAGCGGTTGGCATCTACGGTTTCTGGCTCATCCAAAAGCGATGGCAATTGTCCACGCTCTTCATGTTCGGGTGGGTCATCTTCTTCACCTTGCTCCTGCAGGGCTGGGGATTCATCGGCATCTTCACCCAGCGGTTCGGTTTCCACCACGTGTGGGAGATCTACTGCTATCAGGCTTTCTACGGGCTGTTTGTATGTCCGTGGTATGCATACTCTCAGACCATGATCGCCGAGGTGACGCCCAAGTCGTACGAGTTCCTCTTCTTCAGTCTCTTTTCGCTGGTCGGCAAGACGAGTGCGTTCATCGGCCCGTTCGTCACGCAGGCCATCGCCGACGACACGGGCAATGCGTCGTCGCCGTTCTACTTTTTGCTCGCGCTCTCGCTCTCCAGTTGCTTCCTGCTCTGGCCCCTCGACATCAAGAAGAGCAAGATCGAACAGGCCCGCTTCATCGAGCACGAGGCCAAGGACAAGCACCTCGACGCCGCTGAAATCGCCGTCGCCCCCAGCGCTGCAGCGAATGCTTAGACCAACGTGCCAGTCCCGGACAATGGATAGTTGGATCGCCTCTGTACGCTCGATCGAAATGGAAAGTAGAGCAGCGGAAGGTTGCTGCCTGCCAAAGACCGTGCTTGTGACAGCGACAGCGAAGAGATTCCCGTTCCTGACTCTTGAGTGAGACTTCATTAAAGCTTCCCGCCGAAGAAGAATCAACCAACCACCCGTGCATCGCCGGCCGACCCGCCTGCATCCACGTCCGCATCCGCATCTGCATCCTCGCCGCGGACCGCCTTTGCTTGATCGAAAGGCGTCATCGGCAAACGAGCGCTCGAGATGGTGGGGCTCCGGCGGGCGGTCTAACAAATTCGGCTCGAACCTGAGCTGCATGTGGAGCTGCGGGGCGGACGACGGGGTTGGCGGGCGAGCGGATGCGGTTGGGTGGATAAGCTGCAGCCGCCCTTCCGCGAGTCAGCCGGCCTGTGCGTTGCGCCGCCGAAATTTCCAGCCCGCGACGTGATTCTTTGTCTCGACCACCCTGCGTCTCGAACACCATCCTGCCACCGTCACCGCTCACGTCTTTCGCATCCTCTCCTCACAGCCTAGCACGAAGGCATCCACCCAACGCTCGCTCGTCGACTGGCCGCAGCTCAAAACATCTCTACGGGCTTGCTGGGGCGGATTGGGGGTTGAACTATGGAGCAGATCCTGAGTATCCTGCTACCGTGCTGTTTTGGCAGACGGCATGTGCGGTCACCAGCTCGGTCTGCGGCAGACGCAAACGAGCGCACGCCTCTGCTCGCCGACGGATCGCAGTCGATAGCGTCTGGATCCGGGTCGATTGCAGACAGCTCAGCAGCACAGGCGAAGCGCAAACGCAAACCCCAATCCATCCTCCCCACCCCGGCGTACGACGAACATACCCTGCGCAACATCCTCGACGACCTATCTGCTCGGCTGGTCGATGTGGAATCGGCAAAAACACACGCAGACAAGCAATCCATCCTCACATCCCCACCTCTTGCCACCCCTGAGGAATCAACAGACAAGCCAGGATCGGGGACGGGCGCAAAGTTCGTCACGCCCGTTCACACACTTCGACTATCAGTGCGCAGTCCATCAACACCAGCTGAACCTACTTCCAAGCTGGTCGATATCTGGCCAAAAGATACCGAAGATGCAGCATCCGTAAACTCGACAGCAGGGGCGAGATTGTCGTATTCGGCAGCACTGAAGCGTGGCGCCAAGAAGAAGGCGAAAAGATTCCCCTCGACATCCAACGCCCGGCCCGACGATCCAGCCGCTGTGGAGCAGCAGACGTACAACAACCTCGCCCAAATCGCCGGCTCCAAACCACTCGTTCACAGCTGGGACATCGACGATACCCCCGACCTCCACCCACCCGCATAAGCTCCCCGTCCCTCTTCGCTCGCATGCCGCATCCCACTCTCTTTCAATCATTCACAATCTCTGTCAACAACGGCTTTTCTTCACGACTGTGTTTGCACGTCATCGGTGTCAGTGCGTTGTAGCGGGCAGTGGTTGCATCTCCACCGCCTCGTTGGCGGGCGCAGTGGGAGCAGCTTCTTCGTCGGCATCGGGAATGACCGCCTTCTGACACACGGGACACCGGCCCGAGACGGTGGTGAGCCACTGGTCGACACACGAGCGGTGCATCACATGGCCGCACGCCAGCAGCCGCAGCGGCTCCGGCTCCGGCTCCTGCCCAGCCTCGGGCTCTTCAAAGTCGCACAGGCAGATAGGACATGTTGCGCGATGCGCAGGCAGCGGATGCAGCGGATACTTGAGCCCCGATCGCTGACCAGATGGGACCCCACAAGGCGCTGCGGACCGGCCCTCTGCTGCCGGTGTGCCGGTGGCAGTGGCCGGTATCGATGCAGCGGACTTGATCGGCTCGTTGACGGAGGGTGCCGAGCGCC